AGATATGATATCAGTATTCAATGCACTGACGAATGGTAGATTTGTCAAGATCATGGCTCTTCGCAGGTTTTTTACCTGTTACCACCTCTCTTTATCCCCGCTCGTCCATTCGTTCGCATGAATTCGACCTTTAATCGCTGCATTTCTCTGCTTCATTTTCATTCAATATATCTTGGAAGTGATACATTCTCTGGACCTTCGTTTTCATTACGTGTTCCAAAAATTTCAACTGCCGCTGTTAGTTTCCTTTGTTCTTTCTTCGCTTAAGACTTCCTCGTTGTTCACATGTTCTGGCTATGTTATTCTTAACATTCGCCATTACAACCACATCTTTATCGTTCTAAGTCTCTTCTTCATCGGTGACGACATTATCCAGTATTCATTGCCAGATTCGAGATTAGATATTACGAATACAAAGCAGTTAAACACTGTTTTCTTTCTTTCTAATGAAATCTCCTGGACTATGTAATACAATTATTTCTGCTTTGTTAGGGAAAAAAATAATTTTCCGTTATTCTCAAAAAGAAACATTTTGATAGAATTAGATTTTTAGGAAAACTATGAGAAAGTGGGAAAAGTTTTTGTGTAACGCATTTCGTCATTTGGGACATCATATGGCTAAAATGGTGTTTACGTTGATGTGATTACACATCAGCATGAAGGAGAGGGGGTGCTGAAATTTTAGATTTATTTTTTTTTTATAACAAATTACAAAATTTGATGATTGAACATCAATATCTTTAAATTCGCAGAATTTTATAATTTATTTTAGCGAAAATGACTAACAATACGGAAGTCTTAGAGTACAAAAACAATTAATAAATAGTTAGAATGGCGTCGGGATTAGGGGTTAAAATGAACGGATGATTTACCCACACCAAGAAGATTAATGAAAAATGATAATGACGAGGAAACACGACTAATTTTAACAAAAAAAAACATCCTTTTTTTACGAATTTACACGCTTGAAGTTGTGTTAGTATTTCGTTTCAGGAAAATAAATTAGAAAGTTACAAAGTCCGTAGCTTTAAAATATTGTCATGAAGAGAAAATGTTCCTAGAACAGATTAAATGATCTGACACCAAATAATATTAAAAAAAAATGCTTAAAATGAAGTTTAGAGAGTTCGTTGCTCACAATAACGATAAATGGTTTCCATACGTTCAAAAGTAGACGAAGAGAGATAATTTAAATACTTAGCTTTCTTAGATTGTTGAGAAAAATTCTTTGATGTGCCGTTTGCTTGGTTAAAGGCCGATAATATAATTGGCGAATAATTTTACACTGCCAAGAACTTAAATGCTGGTTGCTGGCCTCGAGGAATTGAAACGAAACCCTTTACATGATTTCAGACAAACTTCTTTCTTTAAGTTTTCTCCTTATTTTATATCAAAAGTAATTTCGCATAGACTCGCGATTTTATTTTCTTTCTTCCTCTTGACTTAACGAATAATTTCTGTCACGACAAGGTTTTCATTATTCTAATGAAAATTTCACATAGGCTCGCGAATTCCTTTCTGTATTCCCCCACCCCCAGTCTTCCGAATTTAAAGACAGCGAGTAAAAGAAGTTATTATTTATTTCTCATTCACTAGAAAGGAATAAGTAAAGTCAAAAGCTTACAAATATTTATATTATGGTGGCTGGAATTTTCCTGTTTCTTTATACTTTGCTTAGCTTTTGGAAGGCACCTTTCGCTGTTCCTACCTGCCTTCGGGTTTCTGCGTCACATTATCTCTTGTATGTTGTTATACAACCCAGACAGTTACACTTCCATCTCCTCTAAATTTGGACGTCCCCATTGCATAACTGACCCCTTGAGCTATGTATCTATCTTATTTAGGGCCTTCTAAAGATGTGATTCTCAAAATGAAAATACTCGTCTCCCAACCTGAGAAATTTTAAATCTAAGAGGCGGAACTTTAACCAGGGAGTCAACGGAGAAAAAATTTCAATCAGGGAACGAATTGTTAATTTGGAAAAATGTACTCCATTCACTGTCTACTTATATCAACTGAAGTACATGAATAAATAGCGATATAAAGTACTCGTGAATAAATAAATTAATATATAAATAAAACTGTTTTTATTGGTTTTTATGCCTGTAATGTTTGATCACGGTTCCATCTAGTTCATTGCTTTGCTTCTGTTTTAACTTTATCATCGGTGAAGCAAGTGCGGCCATTTTGAAGAGGTCATTTTTCACTCGAAATATGATTCTTTCTTTTCTTTTTCATTTCTTTTTGCCATCAGCATGTGTCATATAAGTGTTAGCCTAAATTACTGTACGACACGACCTCTTTTAGAGACACACTTTTCTTGAACACAACATGTCCTGGAATAGATATGTTTTGACAGTTGTCAACATACCAAAGCGCCTGTATTCTTTTCAAAGGACCAATCTATTTATCTCTCTGTCTTTCGCCCCTGTAGCAAAATCAACCTCTTTGTACTGCTCTAGGTTGGTATGGAATAAGGTCGAATTGGTAATCACCTGATCATTTAACTTAATTGGCAATGAAAGGAAATAGGAACTAAATGGAGACAGATGAAATTTATGGGACACATAATGAACAATTAGGGCCTAGACAATTTAACACTCGTAGTGAAAGCGTGAAAAGCAAAGGAAAACATATCGTAACGTACACAACGAGTTTGTGTCAGTGGATAGCTGAAGAGGGACAAAGAGGCTTGGATGGTGATTGATTAGTTGTTTTATTTTAACGGCATATCAACTCTTTAAGGACGAAAATGTTTTTAAATGCGTATATAACTTGTAAAAATCATTTGAGTGATTGGTTTCATGCCTCTCTTGTTATGGCTTTAGTGTTATAATTTGTGGTATAGTTCCTCCTCCTCCTTCAGGTAGACTCTACTTTTATCATCTTGAAAAGGTCCTCTGGTCTAGTCATAGATCGTTGAAGTATAAGGGCAAGGTCATTACAATCGGTTAGGATATGATTTACGGTATGTGCCTTTTGGTATGCCGTGCATTCAAGAGCATGTTCAATATTCAGGAGAAATGAGCGAGTGGTATAAGTGTATCTTATTCTGATTCTTGAAAGGACGACTTCTTCCTTCCGAGAAAGTCGAGAGCTTGATACCATTCTTTTAGAATGGGTTTAATTTTATGAAGTCTGTTGTATGGGTGTTAGTTCCATAACTCTTGTCATTTCTGTCCATATTTCTGAGATGAGGTATTATTTACCCTATTTACATTTTTCGGAATATTGTCCTAATCTTTGTCGCCATATTTGTTACAACGTTTCAGCCTTTCATTATCTGTCTAAATTGCTGAGATGAGGTATTATGTACATTATTTACATTATTCGGACTATTGTCCTCATCTTTGTCGCCATATTTGTTACAACGTTTCGGCCTTTCATTATCTGTTTATATTTCTGAGATGAGGTATTATATACACTATTTACATTATTCGGACTATTGTCCTAATCTTTGTCGCCATATTTATTACAACGTTTCTGCCTTTCATTATCTGTCTATATTTCATAGATGAGGTATTATGTACATTATTTACATTATTCGGACTATTCATCTTTGTTGCCATATTTATTACAACGTTTCGGCCGTTGTACGCCCTGGCCTTCTTCAGGTGGTTGGAATGTCGAACTTGAACTTTTATTTCGCTAACTGAGGTAGACTGTTCTAGTTCCACGTGCCATGTTTAATGGATGTCAGTTATCAGTTACCTCCTGTTAATTCGCCTCTGAAAGTTCTCCACTGCCTTAACCGGGTATTGAATTCACACTCTTTCGGGTCCTGTTACTGGATCTAACTAACGCCTTTATCCACTGTGCCATTTGTCCTTGACATTATGTCCTCTAACACACATGGCAATAGTCCCAATAATGTAAATAATGCTCTTGCCATTTGTTTAGAATGTAGAAATTTATAGCTGCTTTGAAGTCTGTGTCTAAGATATTTTCAAATAAGAAATCTTCATGTTTACAGATTCATTTACTGTCATGCCAGCTTTTCCATTTCCGCGGATGCCAACGTAGTTTGGTAATAGAAGACAAGTTTAATTTCTTCGAGATTTGTTTGGTCCTATTTAGCTATTTAACTATTAAGTATTTATTTTTAGTTTCTTACTGCTATAATTACGGATAATGTATGTGAGAAAATTCTGAAGTTGGTTGGCTCATTGTCTGTTATAATGTCTAAAGCTAAGTCTATGGCTACATCTTCAGTATTGAAAATAGTGGATTTGTTAGCCGTGTGTATTTTATTGTTATATTGTCAAGAACGGAAAAGAATCAAAAGTTGTATATAACAGCAAAAGATAGGAAGCTATGGAGAGTCATGATCGCCTGAGTCCTGAAATGGCTTGGTAGATGAAAGAAGCAAAGAAGAATCAATGAAATGAAGAATAGTACACGCCTCTTCACCCACATCACAAAAAATTTCATGCCTCTTCACCCTCATCACAAAAAATTTCATGCCTCTTCACCCTCATCACAAAAAATTTCATGCCACTTCACACTCATCACAAAATATTTTTACATGAAAAAAAGACGTTGGATTAAATCCTATATGGGTTGAAATTACGTAATTGGAAGGGAAAATTTTCACAAATTGTAAAATTAAAACTAACGGTCGAATGATAATCTCGTCTTTATCATATAAGATTATGACGACGCTAGGTTGAGGTCAATATCTTAAATTTACAGACAGCCGCTTGTGAGATGATGTTCACAACTGGTTGATTACAATGAACGAAATCTGTCGCTGTCAGTTGTTGAAATTATGCTGGAAACAAATGAAACCAGGGAAAATTGTTTTAAATATTTGGGTAAAACTTGTAAATAAGGAATGTAATTGGTTATCAACTATGTGGGAAAAGAAGATAATCTACATCTAGACAAGTGACAAGGGCGACCGAAATGTACGAACAAATAGAATAAGGTCGACAAAGTTTGATTAATTCTGAGCAGGTGGAATTTGTGAAAGATTCGCTTGAGATAAACTGAGATCTGACATCGGAATTGACTGAATATGTATGAGGAAAATATGGATGGGTTTGTCAGTGAGGAGAAGCGACAAACCTTTGCGTATGGAAAAGAAAAGAGAGAAAAGAGGAATCAAATTGATAGTCAATAAATGGAATACTGAGAACATATAGAAAGGTACACACCGGGATAGATAGATAGATAGATAGATAGATAGATAGATAGATAGATATGAGTATATTGATGGAAAGGAAACTGATTTGTTAAGAACATATGACTGTATTGATATATATATATATATATATATATATATATATATATATATATATATATATATATATATATAAACATTGAATCAACACTCAGAGGCGACAGGCTGTTTTATACTAGACGCAATCGTCAGGCGGCCTGACGATTTCGTCTAGCATGAAACAGCCTGTCACCTCAGAGTGTTGATTTCAATGTTCACTTTTTATATTTACATACACTCTATCTCTAATATTGAGCACTTTATCCCATAAATATAAACACATTAAAACTATATTTCTTCATATATATATATATATATATATATATATATATATATATATATATTGAAATACTTTATTATTTATTATTCAAGTACTTTCGTCCATCACAATCATCATCAAGAAACAACGTCTACAAGATGTTTACCATCTATTCAACATTATTAACAGTCGCTACGAGCGCGTTTTGTATTTAACAGAACATTGAAAACACTGAGTTGCAGTTGTTAAAAGAAATTCGCAAGAGATTGACACGTACACGAAAACAATACACCGTCCAGTGGCAACCGGTGCCGGTGGCGCCAAGGGTGGCAGTACCGCCTGAGCCAGCGAAACTGTGTAACCTCCCCTGGTTGCCGGCTGACGAAAGCACGGTATCGCACTTGTTTTCACACGTTGGAGGTAGAAAATTGGTATTCTTTGGGAAGCTGAAATTTTGGAATAGTCTAGACTGACATCATGTATAAACGGTTCGTGGTCGCACAAAAAGAATACGATATACTTATTATTATTATTTTATTCTGTTTATTTGTTATTATTTTATTTATTCATTTCTATTTTTCTTATACTAATAGATGTGCACATTCGCATATTCACATAGTGTATCAGATGCATTCCCAGTGTAGAGGACTGTGCGTGTATTACGTGTTGTTGTATTAGAAACACGCGTGTAACTCCTGGTAGAATATTAAAAGGTCCAACTACAAGAAAATTGCCGGACTCGAGTTAATTCCAACTGAAGATAAAGGAGAAAGACAAACAAAACACACACACACACACGCACACACACGCACACACACACACACATATATATATATATATATATATATATATAAACAAATATATTTAAACAAATTAAAAACAAAAATTTTTTTACAATGGACATAGTTAACATTGTGTTTGTGTGTGAACATTTATGCTTTTTGTTCTTTGGTGAATGTTCATACGTACGTGTATCTTTGTAATGTTCATAGCGTCTTCCCAGAAATGGGAAACGCTGTCTTTTGTGAGATCTCACATCGTAGCGGTGTTCGCTGAAAAGGAAGAAAGAAGATGATGATTTACCTCACCTCCCCGGGAGGTGGGATGTGGCACGAGGCCTGAAGGAAAAAGAGAGGACGAGGCGAGAAGTCGCCCAGTATTTATAGTATAGGGAGAATGACCCCTAGTCACAAGGAATTAAGAATTAAGGAGAAGCTAACTCCGTCACGAGATACCCTCTCCCATGCTGAACGATATTTTATTTAATGTCGGGGGGGGGTATTTTCTATAGTAATATCTTCGAAGGTTTTGAGTTTCACCTTGCATTTGTTGCTGTGCATTATTTTGATATTATCCACTTATATTGACAATTGTAATTTGGTTGTTGTCCGGATTGTTTCTACGGGTGACAGGTTAAAATGCAAGAAAGCGTGTTGCATATGTGCTTTATGTACGTATTTGATGCTGTTTTATTATTATTATTATTAATTCTGGAGTTGCCATCTCCCAAGGGGCACGAAAATTCATAGATAACAAATACCTAAGATTTATTATCTACGATAAAAAGTTTAAAACATCTAATTTAATTATTAACAACACCGCACCTCGTAAATCACCCATGTATAAATAATATTTTCTGTGAATTCTCATGTTCCCCTGGGAGATCGCAACGTAAAAATACATGTATATCAAATTTAACAGAAATTTTGCCAATAAAATTCTCAATATAGACGATAACGATAATATTGAGTAAATTAGAAAGTTAACTCCGGGTTTTGTAATTACTTCAAGAGTCGCGATAAGTGATTGAGAAAATTATGAAACTGAGTTGACCTCCGACAAACATTGAATGTTTTTATTTCTAACTATATATATATATATATATATATATAAACATATATTGTTAACTATAAGAAGGAAGTTTGATTATGAGCCGTTCTAAACCTCGTATATTTGCTTTAATTTCGAGTGAAAATAAAAACAAAAATTGTCCAACATTTGGATATTTTTGACAGAATAATAGTTCAACATAACAGAATATCATGTTTGATGGTCAATATCTTTCTTTAAATGTCCGCATAACCGGAAGATGACTCATGTTCAACACCATCAGTTGAGAAGTCGCCAGAAGTGCTGAAAAATTGGCTACACGAAACCTGTACTTGGATATATATATATATATATATTGCGGTGATCAGATAAACTGGTTTATTTTTTAAAATACGGTCTATTTATGCTTGTTTGACTGTTTGGTGTTGGGAGGGGGATCTTTTTGTGTTTGATTGGGGTGGTACTATCATATGCATAGACACATACATACAGGTGTACGCATTTTAGTTCTCACCAACACATCCATATAAGCAATTTGAGGCGAGGCGCAAATACATCGGTGCGTTCGGGCATACATACGGGCACAGTTTGCCTCACGATCCCAAAAGCGTGAAACCCAGAGTAACAAACTCATATCCATGCAACAATATATATATATATATATATATATAATATTAGTGGTAAATATACTTACATATGCAAAATATATAAATACCCATACATGTATATTTTTTGAATAAAAATTCCAAGAGGATAGAATCCCGGTAGAACTCAATGTCCAGGACAGAGTAAGGATATACTTACTTAAACCCCTTCCACTCACCTCTCCTAAAATTCTCTCTGTTAAGGTTAAATCTCCCTCCTTCTCTAGTATGTTACGCCTCATTCTTACACTCTCTCTAAATTCTGTTTTTTATTTCCGGAGTTGTTTTTTCTGTTTTCTTTTTGAATTTGTAGGTATTTACGATTCCAATGGAATAAATTATGACCATGGAATATTAGTGTTTAAGCCTTTTTTATTATATATATATATATATATATATATATATATATATATATATATATATATCCAAGTATATAATTGGTATATACGGAATGAATTCCAATAACCAACAATTACTATTCTTAAAAGAGTGCTCAATACAAAGTAGAGCAGATATAATTTTTTTTTATAAAAAATTATAACATAAGTATGTTATAAAATCATTACAAAAATAGCCATTTTGTTTCAACACACTCTGTGTCTTATCAAGTGATGATGTTGAAAAGCTTATGGAGTGGTTGATTCTTTCTAAGATGGTCTTACTAATCCTACCGATTTCTGGTCTAGTAGGGTTTATAAGTCTAGTGGATGGCTTAGTTTAGAATTCAACATCATCACTTGATAAGACACAGAGTGTGTTGAAACAAAATGGCTATTTTTGTAGTGATTTTATAACATACTTATGTTATAATTTTTTATATAAAAATAATTATATATAATATATATATATATATATATATATATATATATATATATATATATATAAACAATGGACGTCCAGCAACAGGATATGTGATCTTTGTGGTAAGATATGCGGATCCAGAAGGGATTTCATGTGACATTTGAATTTGCATGATAATAAAACACCCGCTGTTGCACCTCTTAAGTGCCCTGTTTGTGCCAGAATATGTAGGTCCCTTGCTGGGTTAAAGAGCCACATTCGTTCAGCACATCATTATATTTTCTCCAAAAAGATATGTAGTAATGATCGTACTCGAACACGAGTTGGCAACCACCACATGTAGGTAAGTACATAGGTAGGTAGGTAGGTATAGAATTAAAGTATTAGCATCAAAACGACATTTTTATCACTTCAGACGTTATTTTTTTTTAGTAGATATCAGATGTGAAATGCAATAAAATATTTTAAATGGAAGCTTACAGGATTTTGAATCTCTCTGGAGCTAAGCGGTCTAAATCTCCCCGTATCAAAGGGACACAGGGAAAAATTTATAGTGTGTGCTAGCTGATAGACGTAATAACCCTTGTTTGAAATTCAAAGAAGGCGTCTGTTTCAAACACGGGTATTCACTGAAAGCAATGTTTGAAGTAACAAAAATTATATAAAATATATATATATATATATATATATATATATATATATATATATATATATATATATATCCTGACGGGCTTTTTACCGATTTCGCCACAGAGAAGCTTTTCGGTTAGCAAGGTCGATTTTACTGTTTTAAACTACAATTTTCCATGATTTTCTCACGTACATTCATATCTGCTCAAAGCGTATTCAAATGTAAACAAATGACGTCACAATTTATGAAATGGACAAAATACGACAAATATTTAAGACATTTTTATGTTTATACATTCTTTTATATTATTTTATATTTTTATGCTTATACATTATCGACCTGGCTAACTGAAACGCTCCTCTGTGGTGAAATTGGTTAAAGGCTCGTCATGCTATATGACGGTTCCGTATAGGTTACAGGTTCGATTCCTGTCGGAGGACGAATATTATCTATGAAAATTTCTCGGACATTCAGGCCGGTAAATGTTGTTTAATACTGTTTATTATAAACAGAGAATTTACTTAAATATTTGTATCTATAAAAATATATATATATATATATATATATATATATATATATATATATATATATATATATATATATATATATATATATATATATATATAATCAAGCTGTTGGTATTTGCGGTGAAACTCGAGCTTTGTCTCTAGATATCTCAAAGGCGTTTGACAGGGTTTGGTGTATTGGTCTTCTTCATAAGGTCCAGGGCTACTGTATTACAGGACTTTTGATTGATTTAATCCAATCATTCCTATCAAATCGTGAAATGAAGTTCGTCCTGAAGGGAATCGATTCCTGATACTTTCACGCGAACGCGTGTCTCCCCCAAGGCTTTATCCTGGGTTCTACGCTGTTTCTGAGTTTCAATGATCTTTCTGATGTCATCAGTTCTCAAGTCGGCATTTATGCTAATGACACCAGCATTTACTCCTGTCTTAACTGCAAATCCATCAGAAATGACAAAGTTAACGTGGCTGCTGCTGCTGAAAAGGAGCTTCAATCAGTGGTTAACTGGGGCAAGAAATGGCTTGTAAATTTTAATACCTCCAAAACAAAACTGCTCTCATTTAACCATCACACAGAATCTTCGCTGCACGTTATCAGCCTGGCTGATGCTCAATTCCAGGAGAGCATCTTATTGAGACTTCTTGGCCTCATGTTTTCAACTGACTTCAAGTGGAGCAGCTACATTGAATCAATAGCTGCATCTACTGCAATGAAAGTTGGTTCATTGTATCGTTCCAGAAGTTTTTTTTTTTCTCGTTAGATTCCATTTTGCACATTTTTAAATCTACCATTCACCAGGGCAATGAATATGTTGCTATTCCTGGACTACTGCCCCTGCTGTTCATCTTGAGGTTCTTGACAAAATTCAAAGACGGATCTGCGAAGGTATCGATCCTTACTTGACTTTAATGACTTTCCTGGTTTCCCTCTCTCTTTTCTACAAATATTTACATGGCAACAGCTCTGAGGAGCTTTTTTTTTTCCCTGGTGCCCCGATGACTTGAATTTAAGCGTGCTACTAGATTGGCATCTAGGTCCCACCCTTTTACTGTTGAAATAGTTAAATGCAACTGTTTCTTCTACTCCAGCAGTTTCTTAAAGTTAAGTTAGTTTAAATGCAATGTCAATGGCCATCTTCTGTTGTCTTGAACTACGTTCAACTTTTATTC